ATCATTGTGGGAAAATTCTACTACCAGTCCTTCATCACCTTACACGAAATATGGTGAATACATCTCATTTCCTTTTATTTACCCATTTGGTTGCAGAACACAGAACCCATATTCGTACGACTTTCTCCAAGTGAAAAAAACACATTCTAAGGATATGCATAGGAGCTGGGTCTCTAAGACTCTATTGATAGGTTGCTAATGGCGTACCTTTCATTTCGTTTGAGAAGGCGGGAATCGAGTGCCAGTCGGTCACAGGAGAGAAATGGATTTCAAGACAGGCTACGACCTGCACACATGACACGTATATTTCGATTGCCGTTTGACTAAACATATATTTTTCCAGAAATGAAGACCTCGTTGTCGCAACTTGATCTTTGGACTGGGTGCGTTCTACTAAGTCGCCCTGACAACAAGACCAAGTTGCGGCAACGAGGTCAACTCACTGATATATTTTTCTATTTTATAAGTGGGGTTTAGCGACTACAAGTAAATCGGTTATATGAGATGTATTCACCCTGTTTTGTTCAGGGTGGTGAAGGACTGGTAGTCGAATGTCCGCACAATCATATGAGTAGAGCTGACGCGTCCATTCAATTGCACATAGCCTTGCCTTCCCGAAAGGTGTGAATTTCAAGGAAGGTCAGGCATTTTCCCATATCACATTTTTTGGCGTGATTGCCGATGAAACAAAGTTATATTTGCTGTAAAAATCGACTACATTGAAGGCAGAAAGACCAAGATGGTGTGGCCTTTTGTGTGGTCGCAGTCTCATGTGAACAGGAGACTTGAAGAAGGCAGGATCAGCGAAAATTTCGCATATTGCCTAAACAAACTCGGGGAACAGCTTGAAGAAGGCAGGATCAGCGAAAATTTCGCATATTGCCTAAACAAACTCGGAGAAGATCAGGCAACAATAGGATCAGCAAAAAGAAGACGACTGGATCAAGGTAACATCCTTAATTTTAGGAAAAGAAATCGCAAGGGGTTGAGAAAGGTAGAATCAGAAGCCAAGAGGAGACGCCTTCAGTGAGGCTTAGA